AAGGAAATAGGAAAGGGAAGAGGGAGAGGCAGAACAAGGGTTGACACAAGTGACAAAACAAACACCAAGCGCTGGAGGAATAGGGACATCCGCCAATGACAAGCGGCGGTAACACCCTTCTTGAGGAAAAAAATGTAACAGCATCAGCGTCAACGCATAGTCACGAAACACACGTTACGACGACAACAACGACAAATCATATATGAAGCACTCTCGCCCGCTCGCTTGTGTTGGAAAGTGTGGGCGCGACCATCTCCCTGTTACTCCTCGTCTGATTCCGACTCCTCCTCGCTGCTGTCCATCTCCAGTGGCTCCTTGACATCCAGCTCCAGGTCGTACTCCTGGTCGCAGCCGAGATACGAGTCGCACATGAAGTACAGCTTGAACGTGTGCTTGCCTTCCTCGGGTGGAACAAAGTCCAGCTTGATGCGAGAGCGCTGCTGCAGCGCAACGCGCTTGATGCCCAATAACCTGAACAAGAACAAGGCACGGGTGAGTCAAAGGGAGCAATGCTCTTATTATGTTTGCACGCACGCGACAGAGCAAGGCAACACACAATCCAACCACAAGGGAACGCCAACCTCCAAGGATACGCACACACACACACACACACACAAAACAGCACCCACAAGCCTCCCCCCCTCAAACACGCGTACACTGCAACAGAAACACACCTGTTGGATGCCGTGTCGCCAATCACACACCACCAGGCCTCCTCCTTGCGCTGAGGGTAGAAGGGCGCAATGACGGGTCCAACGGGAGTGTCGTCGTCCTCATCCTCATCGCGCTCCAGCGCAACAGAAACAAGCACGGGCGCGCCAGCATGCACGTCCTCCTCATCCTCAACCTCGTACTCGAGCTCAATGCTTGGGTAGCGGTTGCAGTAGCGCGCAACATCCGCCATCTGCGCCGGCGACAGTTGCAGCACCTTGTCGCGCACGTCGTCCTCGCACTCGGTGATGTCGAAGATGCTCTCCAGCTCGTTCTCGCTGGCCCGCTTCAGCGCATCCTGAGTGATGTGCGGCAGCTGCCGCAGCAGCGGATCCGTGACCCACACCGCCTGGGTGATCATCTGGGACAGCTCCATGGCAGCCAGCGCGGGCGCCAGCCACGCGCTCGACGACAGCACGTCCACACACGCCTGGATCAGGCGCGGCACAATCGCCAGCACCCGCTCCTGGTCGTGCTGCAGCTCCGGCGACAGCTCCAAGCGCGACAGGTGTGCCTGGATCAGCAGGTTGGCCTTGACGTGCGGGTCGTTGTACAGCACCTTGGTGCGCGGCTTCAGCGGCACCTTCTTGGCCAGCACGCGCAGCACGCGGTCCTCGCGGTAGCGCACTGGGATCTTCTTGAACTCCGTGGCGGCGCAGATGATGTCCAGCAGACCCTTAAGCTTGGTCTTGTCCGTGAGCGAGCGGCTGAAGAGCTCAATGGTGGTGTAGTCAATGTAGTAGTACGCGGCAATCATGCCCAGGTTGAGCGCGGAAATCTCATCGTTGTCCTCGTCAACGGAAATGCACTTGCTCTCCGCCAGGTCGCTGAGCGTCGTCTCCACCAGCTCGGACAGGTGGTCCGACAGGTGGCGGTGCGTCACGCCGTGCAGGTTGTAGTAGTTGGGGTTCTGCGTCATGCGGCGGTACATGAGCGTCCAGGTCAGGTAGTCGACCGCATCCTGCTTGTGCTCGATAATCTTGGTGACAACCTCGGCGTTGAAGTGGTCGTGCAGCACATAGTCGAGGTGCGACTCCACAGGCATGGGCTCGTTCAGGAACTTGCTGAAGACCTGCTTCTTGGTGGACTGGCACAGCAGCACGCACTTGCCGCAGTCATCTTGCAGAGGGCGCCCGGCGTACCCCATCATCTGCAGCACGTCCGTCAGCGGGTAGTCGACGTAGCGGTGGTCCTTGCCGTCGTAGTACTGCGTGTCCTGCAGCACAACCAAGTGTGCCGGCGTGGACAGGCCCCAGGCAAGGTCGCGCGACGCCACCAGCACCTGGATGGCGCCGGACGTGAAGAGGTGCGTCACAATGCGGCGGTCCTCGTCATCGAGCGCCTCGTGCAGGTACGCAATGCCGCTCAGCGCCGTCTCCCGCAGGTGCTCGTCCTTGAGCCGGTCCGTGAAGCGCTTGAGGTCCTCCTCGTCGCAGCCGATGAAGCGCTTGTCCGCGCCCTCCGCCGCAGCGAACGCATACAGGTCCACAGCCGTCACCTGCGCCTGCTTGCGCGAGGGCACAAACACGAGCACGGGCTTGTTGGGGGAGTGGCGCTTGATGGCGTTGAACACGGGGCGAGCCATGTGCATGAGGCGGGCCGTGGCGTGCGCCGCATTGAAGCCTTGCACGTGCAGCTCCAGCGGCACGGGCCTCACGGTGGGGTGGAAGTTGAACACGTTGGAGCCGGACACGCCGCACCAGCTGCCCATCTCGCGCGCGTTGGCGACGGGCACGGCAAGCATGATGGTGCGCAGCCTGCGCTCCAGCTGGCTGGCCATGTAGCGCATGCGCGCGCACACAATCTCCAGCACGGGCCCGTTCTCCGCGCCAATCATGTGCGCGTCGTCAACGATGAAGAGCGCAATGTTCTGCACGTGGCGGCGCTGCTTCCAGCGACGCGACAGCACGTCCCACTGCTCGGGCGTGGCCACCACAACGTTGGCGCTCGCCAGCAGCTTCAGGTCGGCGCTCATGTCGCCGGTCAGGCCAACCACCGTCTTGCCAAGCCCCTTGCCAAACATCTCCTTCCACGCGGGCAGCATGCGGTTGCACACCTCCTGCAGCGGCGCCACGTAGATGCACTTGGCGTTGGGGTTCTGCGAGAAGGACCGCAGCATCGCCAGCTCGGCACACACTGTCTTGCCAGAGCCCGTGGGCGCACCGACGAAGACGTTGTCGTCCGAGTCGTACAGCGCGTTGAACACCTGCGTCTGAATGGCGTTGAAGTACTTGAAGCGGTTCACGTAGAAGCGCTGGTACGCGGGCTTCTTCAGTGCCGTCACCGGCAGCGGCTGCAGGTCAAGCAGCTCGGTCGTTGGCGGGAAGCGCTCGGGAAGAATCAGATGGCGGAAGGAAATTGGCAGCACAGTCTCCGAGCCGATCCACCTGGACAAAGGCAGGAGGTTGCGCGTGTGCACGTGAGTGATGTGTTGCGAGGATGCAAAGGTTGGCATCAAGCGCAAGTAGCCAAGGAACGAGAGAACATGTGTGTGTGTGTGTGTGTGTGGGAGAGGAACAGGGGGCAGCAGACAAAAACAATCGCGTATGCGGCAAAGGGAGAGACATTGGGTAGGGAAAAACAGAAGCCCCGATGAAAAGGAAAACAACCATCTCTGCTGGCTGGGTTGAATGCGAGGGTCAGACGGTGACGATAAACGTAATCACTGAAAATAACGGCAAGGGTCACGGTGGTTCGTCCCAGCAGACTGCCGGTCCAACAACAGGGGCTGCGCACGAGTGGCATGGCCTCAACAAAAGCAACTAGGCTTAAGAGAGAACCATGGCAACGCGGCAGGGATCCCCCGGTGATCCGACACTGGTTGGGCCGCTTCCCAAGCCTCAGCGCGCAACTCGCGCTTCGTCAAGGTTCATCACGCCCACGCATCTCGAAAGCCACGACGATGCGACAGCAAACACGCACCACAAAACTGCAGTGGTGATACAAAGGGAGCAAGCGCCAAAAACGCAAACACACCAGCGCGCAAACACAACAAAATGAAGAAGAGGAAGAGGATGGGAAGAGAATCGAACCAAAGGGTCGCCCTTGCGAGCATCGTTGAGGCGGCGCAGGAAGAACAAGCGGTAACAGAGTAACAGACGCAGCACAAGCAACATGGGAATCAGACGGTGACGATAAACGTAATCACTGAAAATAACGGCAAGGGTCACGGTGGTTCGTCCCAGCAGACTGCCGGTCCAACAACAGGGGCTGCGCACGAGTGGCATGGCCTCAACAAAAGCAACTAGGCTTAAGAGAGAACCATGGCAACGCGGCAGGGATCCCCCGGTGATCCGACACTGGTTGGGCCGCTTCCCAAGCCTCAGCGCGCAACTCGCGCTTCGTCAAGGTTCATCACGCCCACGCATCTCGAAAGCCACGACGATGCGACAGCAAACACGCACCACAAAACTGCAGTGGTGATACAAAGGGAGCAAGCGCCAAAAACGCAAACACAACAGCGCGCAAACACAACAAAATGAAGAGGAAGAGGATGGGAAGAGAATCGAATCAAAGGGTCGCCGTTGCGAGCATCGTTGAGGCGGCGCAGGAAGAACAAGCGGTAACAGAGTAACAGACGCAGCACAAGCAACATGGGAATCAGACGGTGACGATAAACGTAATCACTGAAAATAACGGCAAGGGTCACGGTGGTTCGTCCCAGCAGACTGCCGGTCCAACAACAGGGGCTGCGCACGAGTGGCATGGCCTCAACAAAAGCAACCAGGCTCAAGAGAGAACCATGGCAACGCGGCAGGGATCCCCCGGTGATCCGACACTGGTTGGGCCGCTTCCCAAGCCTCAGCGCGCAACTCGCGCTTCGTCAAGGTTCATCATCTTCCCATTGGCACAGGAACACAGGCGGACTAAAGCTAATACCAGCCGCGCACAAAGGGGCAGGATAGGAAACGGACGGAAGACAAGACAACAGGGGAGAGGGCTGGGGAGGGGGACACAAGCCAAACCGACACAACGGAGGATTCATGTGCATGCGGTGCGATGAGTGTCGTGTTGCACAACATACGCATACCTGTCAGAGACGACGCGGACAAAGTATTGGGGAGGCATGGGATCTGTGATGGGCACGAAAAACTCAAGCACGTGGTCCAGTTCTGCAAAGCGCTTCTTGAGTGAGAAAAACTCATAATGCAACAGGTTCTCCGAGTCCGCATCCTATGACACACGCACACCAGGAGCAAGCACATCGACGGTTGAGATGAGCGATGAGTGAGGCAGGCGTTGCAAGGCGCAGCGGGAGAGAGAGAGAGAGAGAGAGAGAGAGAGAGAGAGAGAGAGAGGGAGAGAGAGAGAGATTGTGTGTGTGTGTGTGCGGGCGCGCGTGTGCGCAGCACCAGGATGTACACACACACACACACAAATACAGAAGAACGATGGAAAAATCAGCTGTGCAACTCCTCAGCTCTCATAATCCGCGAGTATCTTCGAGATGTTCGCGACACCAGACCATGAAGCAGCCCGCACACAGGAAGAGGCGCAGAACGAAAGAGGGGAATGGGGAGAAACAACGGGAAAGAGGTGGGCGCTTGCACGGTCAGGCGCGGTACTAATCCCTCCACAAGAAAAGTCTTCATCATCGGAGTGCACAGCGAAACAAGAAAAAAAAAGGCTGGAGAGGGGGAAGGGTGTGTGTGTGTGTGTGTGTGTGTGTGTGTGTGTGTGTGTGTGTGTGTGTGTGTGTGTGTGTGTGTGTGTGTGTGTGTGTGTGTGTGTGTGGAAAAAGCAAGAAATTGCAGGAGGATGGACAAGAAGGACAAGAGAAATGCGGAGATGTCGGGAATACAAGGAGAGAGCCCGAGACCGAGCACCGTGTTGCCATAGCACTTTAGATCAGGAGCTGGGTGGAGGCAAGGCACACGCGCACACAGACACACAGAGGCACACAACCGAGCCGTTGGCTCGACAAGTTGCTTCCAAACACACCTCCACGAAGACCCAGAAGCTCTGCTGGGAGCCGTGCACAGCGTCGTCCCAAGGGAAGTCAGCGTTGAGGGTGAGCTTCACACGGAGGGTGGTGCGGGTGATGGGCTGGACATAGGAGCTCAGCTCCATCTTGGGCAGCAAGTGAATGTACTTGTGAAGGGTCTTGCCCAGCTGTTGTTGATAAAGACAAAGTAACGACCAAAAAACAAAAAACATTGGGGTAGTAAATCGTGAGCGTGACAACAAGTGACTCGTGCGCAGCAAAACACAAAGCCAAGAAGCAGCAGCAGCAGCAGCAACAACAACCAACAACAACAGCAACAACAACACCAGATCTGGAGGACTCACCGCGGGCGTGCGAATCAGCTCGCCAAGCTCGGTGTGACTGAGCTCTGTCAGTTGGGACCAGAAAAGGCCCTTGCGCTCCAGTTTCTGCACCGCAACAGGGTTCAGCTTAGGGAATTGCTTCAGTGGACACGCCCTGCAAGTGATTGGCACACAAACGTGAGGTGGTGAGGCAAGCAGAAACAAGAGCCACACATACACACACAAGAAATGAAGTTGGCGGGCAAGGAACGCAAGCGAAGCAGCGATCCAAGGAGTAAACGTGACAACCCGTGGGCATGGAAGAGAAAGGCGCCTTACGTTGCCCACATGCGGCGGTCAATCATCTTGCAGAGGGTGAGGGCGCGGCCTGCAACCTGGGCCCAGCCACGACGAAGCACAATCTCAAAGATGGCACGCATCAGGCGACCAGCTGGACAAGTGAAGCAGCAGCAGCAGCAAGGCAAGAACAACGCGCAATGAGCATCGGCCACCACAAGGAGCAGAAAACAGCAGCATTCAGCAGAAAACAGCAGCGATGGTACGCTCACACCAGTACAAACCCCACAAACCCGCACACCAAACAAACCGCAAACAGCAACCGAAAACAACATTCAGTGTGTCCAATGAAAGGGGGCAAGTGGTGTGCAACGTACCAGATTGCGTGATGTAAACCATGTCTGATGCAAGAGAGAAGCCGTCCAGTTTGAGTTTGGAGATGTACGACTGCAGCAGCGCGTTGATCTTTGCGCTCGGCTCATCAATGCTCTCCTTGATGGGGATGGGGACGCGCTCCATCAGGGTCTGCAACTCAAGCTTCTCCTCTTCCCGAACCTGCACGCAAATGAAGCAAGAAAAGGCGAAGGTGTGGATGGGTGAGGCGGGTGAGCATGACTGATAGTCGTGAAAAGCATGGACGAGCGTGGCAACAACGACGAGGAAACGGTGGAACAAAGCAAAACAAACAAACAAACAACAGCACATCACCCGCACGTCAGAGCAGAGGTAAACCCCAAGCGTTCAACGCACCCTGACGAGCTTAAACTCGCTGGAGCGGGAGAAGATGCGTAGCAACTCAATCTCCGTCAAGGTGGGCTTGAGCAAGCTGTTGTACATGCTGATGGTGTGAAAGTCACAGTAGTAGTGGCTAGCAATGCGACCAAGATCCGTCACCTGCGTGCATGCACGAACGCAAGGGAAACGAGGTTGTTGGTAAGCGGACGGTGACCTTGTCATCGCATGCACACGACACCAAGCAAACAACAAAGCCAATCGCCAAGCACACACACACACGCAAGTGCTTACAAACCTGGAAGTTTCCAGTTTTCCTGTCGTACTTGAGCAAGTTGCTCTTGTCAAGCTGGAGGGCCGCGGTGTGCACGAGGTTGGCACGGAAGCGCTCCAGTTTCTGAAGGAACCATTACGATATTGAACAAGTGCAAGTGCCGAACAAGGAGTGATATGAGTGGCCCGAGACACCCAAACCAGCCAACAGAGAGCCGGTCAAGCGAGCCATGCAAATGGAAGCGCGAGCATAAATAAACGTACGGGGTCGTTGCGAAGGTCGTCCGCCGTCACGCCGTAGAGGGCAGGGTTACGCAGCAGACGCACATACAAGTATGTGTACGAAAGCCACTGCACGGCCTCATCGAGGTTCTGCACCGTACCTGTGAGGTGTATCACGCAACCAAGTTCATGCACATTGTGAGTGTGGTTCATCGTAAACAAGCTGGTGACAGCCACACAAGCGCGTGCGTGCTGGCTTGTAAGGGTAAGGGATGGGGATTGAAAAAAAAAAAAAAGGAAGGAAGGAAAGGAGCAAGGGGAATGTCAAAGTGGGAGGGGAAACGAGACGAGGTGGATGCACCTCAGTAACCTAGAGGTAAATATAATCACGGTGAAATGTCATGGGATTGACAGATTATGATAAGTTTGCATCACCGGTGACACCCCATGCGCCTCGCACAAGAGATACAACAGACAAAATGAGGAGGATGTGGAGAGACAACACATAAAGAGGAACAAGGAGAGGGTTGGCAGAGCCTCAGTAACCTAGAGGTAGATGTAATCACGGAAAATGTCATGGGATTGACAGATTATGATAAAGTTTGCATCGTTGGCTCAAACCCAAAAGAAGAGGGGGAGAAGGAGGAGGAAAGTTGAAGGAAAGGAGGAAGGTAACAGGACGACATGCAGCGTAACCGCACGCCCACATATAAGGTGGAGCAAAAGCAGAAACACGAGCCTCAGTAACCTAGAGGTTGTTGTAATCATGGTAAATTGTCATGGGATTGACAGATTAAAATAGTTTGCATCGTTGGCTCGGACAGAGAGGGGGGGGGGAGAGAGAGAGAGAGAGAGAGAGAGAGAGAGAGTGTGTGTGTGTGTGTGTGTGTGTGTGTGTTCTGCCTGTATGCAGGCAGCACAGGAGGACGTACCTGCAACAATCTCGGCGTTGAGGTTGTCTGCGAGCTTGGACATAAACTGGCTCTCAACGGGGAGCTGCTCGTTGAGGAGGGAGAGGTAGTACTGCAACTCGGCATGTGTGGTGATGAGGATGCCCTCGCCTTGCTTGTCGAACTGAGGGCGGCCAGCGCGACCAAGCATCTGCAGCACATCGAGCGGGGACAGCTCGGTCCAGCCGCCCTTGTCTGGGGCGTAGACTTGGGTGCCCTTGATGATGACGGTGTGGGCGGGAAGGTTAACACCCCAGGCAAGCGTGGCCGTGGAGACGAGCACCTGGATGTGGCGGCCGGCAAAGAGATCCTCGACAAGCGTGCGGTCCGCGCGGGTCATGCCGGCGTGGTGGATGGCAAAGCCGTGTGGGAGGAGGTCCACGAGGTCGCGGTTCTTGGTGGCCTCGGCAGAGTCCCGGAGAATCTCCACGCTGGCTGAATCCTCGCGGAGGAAGGCACCAAGCATCTCCTTCTGCAGGCACATGTCGCGCAGCATGCGGGCCGTCTTGGCGGTGTCCTTGCGCGAGTGCGTGAACACAAGCACCTGGTTGCGGCCGGCGTTGGCAACAACCTTGTCATACAGGATGTCGTTCATGAGCTGGAAGCGCTTGAGGGCCTTGCGCTCCGTGATGCCAATGTACTGCTGTTCCAAGGGGCAGGGGCGGAAGCTGTTGTCGAAGAAGAAGAGACCTGGCGGCACACAAATAAAAACATGGGAATGTCGGCGGGGGTAGGAATGTAGGGAAATTGGTTGCGTGAGGTGAGTTGAGTTGAGTTGAGGTGAGTGTATAAGTGTGAGGCGTGAAACAACTCAACTGCGATGCATAGGCACACGCGTGCGCACAAGAACAAGAACAAGAACAAGCGGTTCAAGCACAGAACAGCAGAAGACACACACCGCACACAGATGCACGACACACGGGGGGTCGCACCTTTGCTGGGGTCAACGCGCAGGAGAGCAGAGACGTCTTCATAGTTTGGCAATGTTGCGGAGAGGCCAACAAGGCGGAGGCTCTCCTGTGTGCGCTCGACTTGGCGAATGCTGCGGGCAATGATGGACTCGAGCACGGGGCCGCGCTCATCGTGGAGGAGATGAATCTCATCGATGATGACGAGGCCAACGACGCCCTCAAAGCCGCCCTTGCGTGTGATGACATCCCACTTTTCGGGCGTGCAGACGAGGACGTTGGTGTTGAAAATCTGCTCCCTGGTCAGGGACTGGTCACCGGTGAGTTCCTCCACGCTCAGGTTGTATGGCTCCAGGCGTGCGGAGAAGTTACCCGTCATCTCCGCAACAAGCGACTTCATTGGCGCAATGTACACAATCTGTGCAGGGTAAGGTGGGAGCAAAGGAAGGACAAGGGGATGGCCAGAACGTGTGTGTGTGAATGTAAGTGTGAGTGAGTGTGCATGCGAGCAAGGTCGAAAAAAAAAAAAGAAGAGCACACGGGAAAAGGTGAACACACGATGCAGCAGCAACAGCAGCAGCAAGAACACCAAGCACTGAAATATGCCATCGCCAAAATCACATACACACACACACACATCCACACCTTGAAGTTTTCAATGTCGACGCTGCCGTCGGGGAGGAGGTGCCTGCCAATCTCGTGAAGGATGGTGAGCAAGGCCACATTGGTTTTGCCTGCACCTGTTGGGGCGCAGACGAGGAGGTTCTCATTGGAGCCAAACGCCGTGGGGAAGAGCTGGCTCTGCACGCGGTTGAGGTTCTTGAAGCCCTTAAAGGCCTTCTGTGCCCAGTCTGGGAGCGATGAGATGGGCACCAGCTTCTCGTTCTCGCTGAGCGGCTTGGCCTTGAGGGCGGGGACGTACACCTCCTCGTAGCCCTTGTGGGACTTGCGGAAGGAGCCCTCTGGCAGGGCGCACTTGCGGTTGGCCATGAGGTGGCTGCCTTGGGAGAAGACGAGGTTGTCAATGTTGAGCACCTGCTTGGTGATGTGGGCGTCGCGCACGTCCGTGTCCAAGTCGCGGTCCAGCTTTCCTTGCCGCTGGGCCTCCTTGCGTGCCTTGGCCTCGGCGCGGCTGTCGCCCTCTGCGCCTTCCTTGAGCAGCTTGAGCGCCGGCGCAAGCTCGTCATCGGCGCGCATCTTTGCCTCGATGGCGCGACGCTCGGCGTCAGACTGGGCCTTGGCGCGCATGATGCAGTGGTAGATGAGGTTCCTGTGCTTGCGCAGGATCTTGACAAAGTCGAACTTGTCAAAGCCGAGCACCTGCACGAGGCGGTTCTCGCACTCGCGGTCGTCCTTGGCCTCGCCGAGAACCTTGAGGGACTGGTCTGCCAGCTTCTGCGTCTCCATGGCATCCTTGGAATACTGGCCGAGCTGGCGCTGGAGCCAGAAGGCGTCAAGGTCGCTGGGGTTGAGCGTGTCGCCGGCGGCGGCGGCCGCCGCAGCCTCACGCTGCAGGTTGGCCCGGACAATGTCAGCCTCAGCCTCTTCCTCTTCCTCGTCCTCCTCCATGTCCTTGACCTCATCGAGGTCCTCTGCGTCCTCGTCGCCGGCCATGGCGGCGGCTGTGGTTTCCTCCTCTTCCTCATCGCGGTCGAAGACGAGGGCGACGCCCGTGTCATCGTCCAGGGGCTCCTCCTCTTCCTCCATGGCTGTGGTGTCGTGGTAGTCTGTGATTTTCTGGCTCAGGCCGACGAGGCGCGTAAACTCTTCGTCGGAGACGCGCTGGCCGAGCAGGGAGGCGATCTCGTGCTGCTTGTCCTTTGTCTTGATGTCCTCGTCCTTGAGCACGGCGAGGATCTCGTCGGCGGCGCCCATGAGGATGTCCTGGGGCTGGCTGCCGAGGAAGTCGGTGATGTAGGAGAGGATGAGCTCGTAAAAGTGCTGCGTGTCCTTTGTCTTTGGGTAGTACTTGAGGCCGAGGTCGGCAAAGTTGGCGAGGACGGAGGAAGGCAGCGACGCCGCGGGCTTCTTCTTGCTTTGAGCCTCTGCGCGGCGCTTCTTGCGCTCCTGCAGGTCCTGTGGCATGGAGCGCACGGCGCGGTCGCCCATGCGTACTGTGTCGAGGTGGCCCTTGAGGGACTTGACCTCACCGGTCGCGTCATCACGCACCCGAATGTCGAGCAGCTTCCGGTCAGCTTGCAACACCAAGTTGGCGTTCTACAGGAAGAAGGAGCGGGGGGGGGGGGGGTGAGGAAGCAAAGGGGTGGGTGAACACACAGACATACATATGCAGTTAAGTCACTTGGAGCGCGCGTCAGAAAGGAAGGGGTGCGAGCATAGACACGTCACGCTCGCACACACACACACACACACACACACACACACACACACACACACACGCACACACACACACGCACACACACACACACGCACACACGGGCACATCACACATGACGCACGTGGAATCGGGTGCATCACGTACCGCATTGTACTCGTACTGCTGCTCGCGAAGGCGGTGCTCAGCCATGGCTGATTGTGTGTGTGTTAGAAAGAGAACAGCAACTACAAACTACTTCAAGGTCTTCGGGTCGCCGTGCTCGCACGTTGCTGAGCTGGGTGTGATGATGATGATGATGATGTGAGGGAGTTCAGCCAGCTGGTCAGTGGCTGTGCTGTTGCCGTTGCTTTATGTGTGAGTGTGTGTGTGTGTGCGTTCGCCGCGTGTGTGAGAATACGTGGCGGCCGCGCTGTGCTCTTTTGTGCTGCTGCAGTTGGGTGTTCGTTCGCAAGGGTGGTTGTTTGCTGGCAGTTTTATCAAATGGGCGAAAGTGCAGATTTGAGGACGAGGTGACAAAGTTGGGTATAGATTGATATGTGACGGAATGACAGAAAATTAGCTGTGATATCCGATGGTCAGGTGGCCGAGTGGTTAAGGCGTCACGTTTAGGCCGTGATTTTCAATCGAAAGCGCGGGTTCGAACCCCGTCCTGACCTCATCTTTTTCTTTTTTTTGTTTTGGTGCTGAGACCGGGAGAAACGCGCCGTCCCTTGCTCGTCTGCTCATCTGCTTGTTTCTCTGCGAGCTCGTCTGCTAGCTCGCTTGCTTGAAGGCTTTGTTTGCGTGGCTCACACTGTTAACTCATGTCATTGTCATCGTTCACTTGATGCGATGCGGTTCAAGTTCATTCTTGGTTTTCAACAGCAATGACATATGCAACACAGCAAGCATGCAAGAGAGAACGCAGACAGCCTGACAGCACAAGACAGAGAAGGAGAACGCACGTGAACATGAACAGGACACGCCAAGGGGCCCATCAAAGGGAGCAAAAGGTGAACAAGGAGGTGGCCAATCAACAGACCAAACCACCAACACATCCGGCAAACAATCAATGCAGCAAGAAAGCAAAAGAAAGGAAGCAAAGAGAGGGCTTTTTCTGGGAACACCACACAACTCCACTACTACTCCACACACAAAAAAGAAGCATCGAGGAAGAAAGGAAATCAACACATCCAAGCATTCACATGGCATAGCATGTCAAAAGCAAGCTATGTGGTCCACTTACTCATTCACCGACTCACACACGCACCCGCTCGCTCGCTACCATCACCTCGCACCAACACTACCGGCACGGCTGCCATCAATCACTCATCATCGCTCATCAACAGCACATCAATCTCCGTGTCGTGGCTCGCCGAGGCAGCACGGCCGCCCTTGCCTCGCCTGTTTAAGAGAAGCAGTGCACCACAGCCAAATCAGCGAGTCAAGGAGAATTCATCGCAGCACATGAGTAGAGCACATAAGCATGTCTAACGCACACTAATACACGAACACAACACTGCCATGCACGCACTGTGGCTTGGCCTTTCGTGACCGCTGACGGCGAACATTCTCCTTGTCTTGTTTGCGAGCTTCGTCAAACCCGGCAACAAGGTCTTCCGGCAGGTTCTCCTCGGGCTCCCATGTGTCCTCACTGGAAGCAGGAACAGCAGGCAGAGTCACACATGAGGCATGGCTGCGTGAGCACCACCAAGCAGCAGTGTCCATGCACAAATACGACAACCAGGTCACACCGCACACACACACACACACACACACACACACACACACACATACTCACACATCCGCACGCACACACACACACACACACACGCACACACGCACACACACGCACATACTCACACATCCGCACGCACGCAAAATGTGTCCGGGTTCCAACGCCCCTTCCTCACCTTGGATCGGTGTCCTTCCAGCGCACTTGGAAGAAGCGCTTGCGCCCTTTGTGCTTCACCTTCATCAGCTGAACCCCAGATGTGGAAGACAGAAAACAACGTCAGCTTGGTGATATCGCGAACTCGCTGCTTCAGGACGCAGAGATGCACACACAAACTCATGCAATAAAATATACACACTTGCACACACACACACACACACACACACACACACACACACACACACACACACACACACACACACACACACACACACACACACACACACACACACACACACACACACACACGCACACGCACACATGTACGTGCATGCGCACAAATACGCACCTGCTCAATCTCAAACTCCTCGCCATCTTCTTCCTCCTCTTGTTCGGCTGCATCTGATTCCTGCTCCTGCTCTGATGCTGAGAGAAGGTCGTCAATGTCTTCTTCATCACTCTCGTTGTCGTCCACAACACGGGCCCGGCGTTGGGGTTGCCTGCGACGCTGCGACTGTGATGCCGATGCCACTTTGTGCACCTCCTCCTCCTCGTCGTCATCATCTGCAATGTCACTTGCAGCGCCGTCATAGGCATCAGCAGAGTCGGCACGCATGTTCTGCTTGAGCGTGGTCGCTGCGCGTGCCTTGGCAGCACGGGATGCCCGCTGGCGTTTGCTTGGAGCGGCAACCAGGCCCGTTTCCCGAAGGTCTGTGCAGTGTGTGTGTGAGTGAGAGAGAGAGAGTGTGTGTGTGTGAGTGTGGGTGGTGTCGTGAACATCAGCAATTGCAACATGCGCAACAACCACACGCACCTTCCGCGCGCGTTGCCTGATGTGCGGTTTGTTTTTCTGCCAATGCTTCTCGGGCTTCCTCGCTGATGCCTGTACATGGCCAAGTTACAAGCAAGGCACACAAGGTTCACTTGTGAGCATGAACAACGCCGCAGTCAATTTGTTCACATCATGTGCACAAGTGCCTGGTATGCACAGTCGCAGTGGCTTTGCACGGAAGAAAGACATTTACCTGATCCGTCAACATTCAACGCGTCCATCATCTGAATCCATGATGCATCAAGTTTGTTGAGCGCACATGTGAGCAGTACAACCATCCACAAACCTGACAATGTAAACCTCCAACGCTCGTTTTCCAAAACAAACAAGCAAATCAAGTCAAGCAAGCCAACAACCCAAACAACCCAAACAACCCAAGCCAACAACCCAAACAACCAAGCAAACAACCCAAACAAACAAACAAACAAACAAACAAACAAACAAACAAACAAACAAACAAACAAACAAACAAACAAACATCCTCACACCTTGCGCAATGAGCCCTTGGCAAAGCGGTCATCCACGTGTTGCAGCATGCTTTCGCCCAACACAAACAGCGCTTGCCGCGTTGCATCATCCATGGCAGAATAGTCCAGCATTGACAGTGCCTGTACACGACGAAACGGGTTTGAGATGAGGAATTGATTGTAGACGGTACATGAACATGACTTCAATGCTGCTGACAACACAGGAAACACACCATCCAAGCAACCAAACAAGCACACAAACAGTACCGAAGCCACGCACAAATAACATGCATGCATACACACACACAGCATGCACACACACACACACACACACACACACACACACACACACACACACACACACACACACACACACCTTGCACAGGGGTTTGACGGCCGCGCCCTCTGGTTCGGACAGCACTTCGTTTGCCATGGTCATGGCGACGCTGTGATGCAAGCCAAGATCAGCGGTGGCAGGCAGGCCCACCTCCGATCCGTCAACTGCGCCCGTGAGATACACAAACAGGTCAACAGCATCCTGCAACTTGACAGAATACAGCGGAGAGCTCCTTGGCGCCAGCGCAAACGTGCGGATTGTCGGCATAAACGCCTCCTCAATCACATCCTGCAACACCAGCACGGCGCGAAATAAGCGACGTCGAATCGTCAAGCTCCACGAGTGGAGACGTGCACGAGTGCCACAACGACACCGCAACAGCAAAATGACCCCCCCCCCCACACGCACAGCAGTCAACTTACTCCCTGTCTCAAAACCACAACAGCGCTGCCCCTAACGGCACCACCACCAACAACAACACGGCGACGAATATCAGTGCGCCCCCATCACGCCCCTCCCCCCTCTTTGCTCACCTGGTGTGCACGGGAGGAGAACGCGTACGCTGGGAAGAACACGCTCAGACACTGGCGGAGCGTCACGTCTTCCGTTGTCAGTGGGTTGAAGTACAGGATGACAAGGTGCGAGAAGATCTGCGCACTCGTGATGTGATTGTGCAGCAGCAGCTTGGCAAAGCCCTCCACCGCAGCGCAGCGGAGATTGTCATCGTCACTGTCCAGGTATCGCTTCAACACGGGAATGATCGTTGTCTGCCACAACAAATTGATACGTGCGTGATGGGCGTGTGTGTGTGAGTCAACAGTGTGCACGAATCTCCGTCCTTCCCCCTCCAAGCCATCGCGATAAGACGACATGGCAACAGTCAACAGTGATCACCTGTGTGTTTGCTGGCGCAGTTTGCTCCGTGTCCTCTGAATCTGATTGCCTGCTGCTCATGCTGCTGTCGCCATCGTTATCTGTCTCGCTCCCCTTCGCGTTGCCCGTGAGCGTAGCCACGCCAAACGCAAGCACAAGATCAAACAGAATCTTCAGTGCCGTCAGCTGAAGCGCCTCTTGATCCACCTGTGTGTGTGTGTGTGAGCGTGAGTGAGTGAGTGAGTGAGTGAGTGAGTGAGTGAGTGAGGGTGTGAGTGTGAGTGAGAGTGTGCGTGCGTGCGTGTGTGTGTCTGAGAGAGACAACACAGCAGCGGAACTTTCGAGAACAACTGTGTCATTGTGGGCCAGCCTTTCCTTGCACATGACCATCCCGCTGACCTGTGCGACTTGGAGCAGGAGCAGGAGGTGCGCCTGCGCAAATGTTTTGTCAGCAATGCAGCACAGCCCAAGGCACTTTACGGCTGCGTTGCGAATGTCGGCATCGGCACTCTGCAATGGTGGGGCGCAAACGAAACGTGAGTGTCGGGAATTCGACTGGCGTGAAGACCAACAAGCAGCAGGCCAGAAGTGTGGCGGGAGTGGGAATAGACCTCCGGCCCATCGTACAGCTGCTGTTTCACATTCACACACAGCAGCTGCAACTCAAACACACTCTCACACTCACGGAATTCCAATCACCTGTACACATGCGCACACACATACATGTACCTGAATGCAAGAGAGAATGAGGGTGTCCACAAGGCCACCGAGGCAGGTGTTGCGGGGTGCGGTGCGCAATTGCTTGAGAGCAAACACAAGAATCTGCAGCTTGGTCAGCGTACACTCTGGCGACATGCACTGCTTTTCCTCCTCTTCTTCTTCTTCTTCTTCATCGTCTTCATCGTCTTGTGTGCGGTTGACGTCTTGTACATCGTGCACAATGTCGCCCAACAGCTGCAAGCGCTCCGAGGCGATTGGGTGCAGTGTCGTCAGGAGCTCAAGGCACGTTGTCATGGCTGTCTCCGTCAGCTCGTTCCAGTGATTCACGAGCAGTGACCTGCAACGATTTGATGTCATGCAACGTGAACAAACCATAACAATTCTGAATATCTCTACCTTGCCGAGAAAGCAAAACACAAACACACGCACAGAGAAACACACTTGGCAAACACACACCACACACAAAGAAACACACTTGGCAAACACACACACACACACACAAAGAAACACACTTGGCAAACACACACACACACACACTCACTCTCTCTCTCTCTCATTCACACACAGGCCAACCTGATGCGCGAGGACATGGCGCGGCGGCCGGCTTCGTCCGAGTAGTCGACAAACTTTGCCAGTTTGAGGAGTTGGCAAAACACAAACGTTGCGCTCTCCACGCGAACTTGAAGGTCCTCCAGGTCTTCGTCATTTGTCGCATCGGCTCCGTCGTCCAGCAACACGTCGCTGTTCAGCTCGTGCAGTCGAGTGCGGGCCTGTGCGGTTGGTTCGTGACATACGTCAGCAAAGAACGAAAGAAACAGAGTAATTTTAAGCCTGTAGTTCTTGGTGCACAATGGCATGGCAAGTCCAGTCATGTGTGCTTGTTCACAACGCCAGAAATACACAGTGGCACTCAATATGTCTCTGTGTGTGTGTGTGAGACAGACGCACACACATAATTACACACGCGCATACGCACACACATGCAAGCACGCACGCACACGCGCACACCTGCACGATGAAAGTTGCAAGCTCATCGAGCATCTGCGCCAGCGTCGACGCGACGGGAAGCACGCAATCAAGGGCGTCGTGGTCCTGCTTGTGATGCAAATGGCCGCATAGCATTCGCCACCAAAACGCATTGGAGGACGAGATGGTGTCCACCGTTGGCTGCTTCCAGCCGTCTGCCTCTGCACCTGATTGGCCAACAACACAGCACGGGAGACCGTAAGAGGGAAGTGAGGGAAGGCGTCATCCATTTAACAACTCATTGCGATCTCACAAACACGGAAGCGCATGCGTGTTGAAAAAATACAAGCACAACACACACACACACAAACACACACACACACACACACACGCACGCACAGACACGCACAGACACGCACACACGCACACGCACACACACACGCACCCTTCGTACCGTGTTCAAGCATGGCCTTTGCCACGAGCTCGTTTGTGGTTTCGTCTGTCTCGACATCAAGCATGTCAAACAGCTGTGCCGGGTCTTTTCCAAGCTGCTCAAGCCACCCGTTGACAATCAACTTTGCGCACGCGTCACGTACGTCCGCTGTGAGCACAAGACGCAGACAACCAAGTGCGTGAGTTGACATGTTGTGGTTCGTGTTAAAGCCAGGCTACAGTGTGCAAATAATCACCAACACGCACTCGTCTTTGCACCGCTCATACTCGCACACGTACTCGTATACACATCAACGCACCACCTCACAGACACGTGGACGCACTCATATAAACATCAACGCACCACCTCACAAAGACACACACGCACACACACACACACACAGCGCTCACAGCAGCGGTCGTTGAGGCCGTCGCGGACGAGGTCGAGGCGTGCTTGAATGCTGAGGGCGCGCAGGTCAAGCTTGTCCTTCAACACCTGCAGTGAAGCCGTGTGGTTTGGGCATTGCGTTGATGAATTGCGTGCCACGATTGAACATGCATCGACAAGGAAGCACGGATGTAAGACGGGGGTATGAACACATACCCAAGGCAAGCATTCACCACGCACACACACACACACACATACACACACGTACACACACGTACACACACACACACACACACACACACACACACACACACACACACACACACACACGCACGCACAGTGTAGAGAGCCTTGCGGACAACGTCCTTGACGTCTCGGGAGCGGGAAATAATGTCGGTGATTGTGGCCTTGTTCATTGCAATCTGCACCAAGGCAGTCTTGCGCACGTCTGGTTTGGCCAGAAGTTCAACATAAGCGTGAGCACGCCACATCGGTGTCTGTACACGCGTACAAGCATAAATGTACGCACACACACACGCACGTACGCACATACACGCACACAAACGCAGACAAACGTAAAACACACACACACACACACAAACACACACACACACACACACACACACTCTCTCTCTCTCTCTCTCTCTTTCTCTCTCTGACGCACACTCACCCACTTACAAACACACACATACACAACGACCCACCTGGGCTGCCGTCGGCAATGAGGCGCTGGCGATATTCGTTGATGACAGGGCAGTCCATGTCGCTGGGATCCTGGAGTCGACTCAGAGCGTTGATGGCCTGCACGCGGACCACGGGGATCTTGTCGCGGATGCGGGTGAGCATGGCGGCCTGCATGGCCTCCCAAATATCGTCATCGACCTCTGCCTCCTCATCCAATGCGTGCAGGAGCTTGCTCAGGGTCTGGCATGCGCGGAAGCGCACGGCCTTGTCCCTTGCATCGCTGATGTTCACCAGATGCTGAATGAAGGCGTTCATGAACGAGAATGCATCCACCTGGTCCTCCTCTTCCTCTTCATCTTCCTCCTCCTCCTCCTCCTCATCGTCAAGGGATGGGAAGCATGATGCTGTAGTTGTTGCGGCCACAAATTTGACTGCAAACTCAATCACGCGCTCGACAGCGGGCTCTCGCTTGAACACAATCAAGCAGCGGTTGAAGAGATCAAAGAAGCTGTCGTTGAAGGCCTGCAGCCCGTCGAGGCGTCGCTCCTCTCCCACGTGCTGCTCAAAGATCTGCAGGGATGCAGCCACGCATGCATCGTGATGCACCACGTTCTTCTGCGCCTGCTGAAACGCGTCCACCAGCGTCATCTGCGTTTGCCGCCGGCGTCCCATTGTTGTTGTGGTATGTTGTGTGCGTGTATGGGTGTGGATGCGTGTTGTCTATGGCTGTGGGGGACGAGAGGTGGATGT